CTGACCTCTGCCGACCTACGGACGCGCGGCCCGGAAGGGTTTGAGCACCGCCAGGTTTCCCTCAGCCTCCACATCTCCCCTGCTTCACCCTTCCTCGCTCCAAAAAGCTGCACCTCCTCCCTACCCAGATTTGGGGGTAAAGCCCCCGGTTTGCTCAGCGTGCTTTCTCCACTCGGCCAAGGCCACCGGGGTCACAGACACCTCCCAAAACCTGCCCGGTTCAAACGTGCCTCCGTATGTCTGATGCTCCTCTCCTGGGAAAGGTTTCTCGGGGCAAAAAGCCTGCCAGAACCCACCTGCTCTTCAGCAGTCCCTGCTCCTTGGTGGCCACGTTTCGTGCTGGGGCCACGCAGGACCAGGTCCCCACCCACGCTGCGGCCCGGGGGGAAAAGGGCTTCTGCCCCCCTGCCAAGCCAAAGCGTGACCCTCCGAAATCCCAATTTCTGCCTCGCGCCCAGATTTGGATCCCCTGGGAAAGGCTCTGGCCGCATCCCAGCAGCGGTGGGGGTCCCTCCATGGGGCGGGGGGCTCCCTGCCTGCCCCTCGCCTCCAGCCCGCCTGTTACGCTTCCCAGGCGCAATCACGCTCCGGTTGCTCCTCCGACAATCAGAGATCGCCGACGTTTTTCTCCGGGAGAAAAAAAATCAGCTAATTATGTGCCGAACAAAAAGCCTATTCTCGTCTGAAATAATGCTCCCGTCTTGCACAGGCACTTGTTTGTGGGCAAATTTTGAAGAGGGCCGACAATAAAAACAGCTGCAGGAGCTGGGTGTTGGTACACATCTCCGCACCCTGCCAGATTTCCATGCCTAATTATCCCCCCTCTCCGCAATCTAACGTGGTTTCCTGAAAAGAGATGATTCTTTCCCCCCCCACCTCCTCTCTTCGCTTTTTTTTACCAAGCTTCGCTTCTCCGCAAGGATTCCCAGCCCGCTCTGGAAGGAGCGGGGATGCTGATGGTTTGGGGGGGGTGGAGGGTTTAGCTCAGCTCCATCCACCACGATGGGAAGGAGTTGGAGGCAGGAGAGGGGCCGCTGGATTATGGGGAGGGGGGAAAGGGTGGTGTGGGGGAATAAATG